GGGATTGCGGCATACTAGGGACGGATTAGTTCTAAACACTAAGTCTTACCTATTTTGGAATAAGTTGGATTAACTATAAAAGTTAAGTCATACTTATATATATCTATATGCACCGGTATGAGACGGTGGCATATTAGGGATGGTTTAGTTCAAAACACTAAGACCTACCTATTCTGGGGATGGATTAGTTCAAAACACTAAGTCCTACCTATTCAGAAATAAGATGGATTAACTGTAAAAGTTAAGTCCTACTTATAGTTATATGTCAGGTCAATAAATCTTTGAATGACATTCCTTGAACGGATTTTTTTATATATTTATGATTATGGTGCCGTGATATGAGATTGAGTCTCAGGATAATGGTTAGGGTGCGTATATCGCTTACGATGGATAACTGGACATAGTTACTGTTCCCTGATAGGTTTAGATACACATGACCACATTATGTGCGATTTGTATGGTATCTCTACTCAGACTGAAACATACCTATTGAGCTAGTGAGCGTCCTATAATGTGTATTTATACATATATGGACTATTCTAGTTGTTGAGCTATCTAGGATGTATCTGCGTATCGGGTTTCTGTATGGATTGTAGTAGGATAGAACTTGCATGTGGGCCTGACCCACTCTTATTTTTCAGGTGTTCGTCAGTTAAGGCTTAGAGTTTGACCATGCTGAGCAGATACAGTCACTCACTCTTCCGACTACGTAGGACTTCTGTTCTTATTTTAGTTTTGGATGTTGGTTTTGTATTTTACTTTCATTTGGGATTATTAGGGGTTCACCAAATGGATTCCCGAGTTGTACGGATTTGAAAAATTTAATATTATATCAATGTATAATATTTTGAAGATTTTTAATTTAGAATTCTGTCAGCTTATTATTTTATTTTTATTTCATTTTTGTATTCCGTGCTTATTTACTTATTAATTGTTTGGTATCCTTCGGATCTGTGCTTGGACTTGATCATCCGTTGCTCTAGAAATGAGGGGTATCACAACAGAGTAGACAGCAATTCCCTATTTCAACTTGTCTCCTCCTTTCTGTTTACTCAATTAGCTCATCTTCAAAGTCTTGTAGGGGTTTTTGAACTAGTCTCAATAGGTAACCTTTTCCTTAACAAATATTTTCAACATTCTTTTGATTTTTCTTTTCTTTTTGTGCTGAAATTTCATTTTTTTTCAAACACATGCTCTATTTTTTTTTTTTTTAAAAAAAAAAATAATAATCTTTATAGCTTTTATGAGCAATATGACCTAGTCAACTTCACGATGATTGTTAATTAAAATTTTCAAAGTTGGATTAGTGCACATGAAAAATATGAACTCAAGAGACTTATCTCTAAAAAGAAATAAACAAAGCAAATTGTCTTTCAACATATAGATTACACATCAAGAATATTTTCATCAAATAATCATGTGTCCCCAACTTGTATTGAAAAATAATGAATTCAAGAAAAATAATTATCACTCATGCATCGACAAGAAAAATATGACCATCACTTTCTCTTGAAAGAAAAACAACTTAAATCCTAAACTACAAGATATGGTCCAATGGAAACAAGATATTCATCAAAGCATAGTCCATGACCATAAAAACTCTTTAGGATTTACTCTGAGGGTTTTGCACCCAATGACCATAAAAACTCTTTAGGATTTACTCTAGGGGTTTTGCACCCAATGACCTATTGGAAACAAATTCAATGGCATCAAAAGACACATCCAATTTTAAATCCTTTTTCTTCACCCAAATAACTTTCACATTCAATTTTTGAAGAGATTTTTGAGAACCATCAACAAAACTCTTTTTCTTATCTGAATTCCTTTTAGCATGAGAATTTTTTAGTTTATTCCAATTATTTTGCTTTCTAGCATGAAACCTATTTTCTGCAAAGAAATTATCACCATGAAAATCAGAACAATTATTATCTCTTCTCTTCTTAAAACACTAGTGCTGACTATGTCCAGTTCTACCACAATAAGAACAATAAAGCACTTTAGACACACTCTTAGCATGCATAGGCTTAAGAAAAAGCTTAGACTTAAAAATAGGCACATTTAAGTTCATGGGTTCAACAAATACAGTTTGACCCTTTTTACTAGATGAAGCCTCATTAAAACCTAATCCAGTTTTATCATCTACATACTTACCAACACTAATCATCTTATCAAGCTTAATCTGTCCAGAAGTAAAAGTAATTAATTTCTCTTGTGACTTTTTCAATTCAAGCTCAAGAAAATTAAATTTGGCAATAAGAGATTCTCTAGTAGAATTAGCTTGACTTACCTAGCTCTCGAGAATTTTTACTTTACCTTGAAGATTCTGAATTTCAACTTTGTTCTTCTCAAGCAATTTCTGTTTTTGCTATTCTCCTTCTTCAAGATATCATTCTCCCTTTTCATCAACTCTAGTTCCTCAGACTGCTTCTAACTAGCCTTTAACATTGCCTCAAAGATTTTCAATGTATTGCTTTCACTTGGTTCTTTTTCAATTTTCTTATCGTCCGAATCATAAGAACCAACCTTGTTTAATGTCCCAAATTTGTTAGAATCTCCTACAGAAAAAGAAGAATCATTAGGAGTATCATTATCAACATGAGCAATAAAAGCAATAGAATCATCTTTCTTATTTTTCTTATCTTTCAATTTAGAAGGATCTCCTTTAATAGAATTTTTATTCTTTCTATTTTTAAGGAGTCTTCCATATCTTTTAGATAAACGAGAAAGTTCCTTGTCAGAACTTAAACCATTAAAAACAAGATCCAATTCACCCTTATTCATAGGATTTTCCATCATTAATTTTTGAAAACAAAAATAATTTTATTTTTCAAAAAAAACTTCCACAAGGATTAACTCAATGTATATAGGATGGCTTTGATAACACTTGTTGAGTGTGCACAGCAGAATGGTTGTGGAATATAATCTGGATAGATAACCTAGAGGATGGTGAATAGATTTAACTTACTCTTTTATCCATTTTTTACTTATTTTAATTTTACCGAAATAAAACTAAAATCAAATCACAAAACAAAAATAAAGTGCAAGTAAAGTAAATAGAATTTGAGAGATTACGCCAGGATTTATCGAGGAAACCCCAATTGGTAGATAGACCAATTGTAACAGGAAAAACCTTGTTGCCTGTCCAACAGCTCTCGACCTCAGGCTTACTCTTGATCTCTGTAGAAGAGTTGCAGGTAGATCAGACAACACTCCCCGAATGCTCTGATCCCTTCAAAGTGTGATCGATTCACCCATTTTCTTCTAGATCTGAATTTTATGAAGAACGCATGAATTCTGCTTTTCCGGAATTTCTGAATCTTCAATTATGCTTCAATTCCGATGAGATAGAGAACAACACTACTAAATCACTCTTGTGTTTATGTGTGTGCTCTCAAAAATAAAATCAGAAAAATCAAATTGATTTTCTGAATGAATAAAAAATATTTCTAAAAGATGGCTCTTTAATAGATCTGAATTTTGTATGCAAAAGCCATATAAAAATATCTCTCTAAAGGCTTTCTCAAAATATAGAATTGATATTCCATAAAACCATGAATAAATCTAGATGACTAACAAGGTTTATATAGAGTTTAGAATGTCTTAATCCCTCTGAAAATATAGAAAATTTCGTGTATAGGACTTGGAAGGAAGTTTGATCCAAAAAGGAATCAAAACGGATAAGGAAACTAAAGTTCTATACTGATCGGGACTTCTTGAACCGGTACTAGAATGTGGCTACCGGTTCCAGAAGGTCAGAAGACTTTCCGACGCACTCTTGCTACTATTTCAGCCTTTGGCTACCGGTACCAAGAAGTTCCCACCGGTTCCCAATGGACAGAAGTGAATTCCTCATTTGGCTACTAGTACTAGTACCAAAAGGACAGGAGTGGCTACCAGTACCAGATTTTGGCTACCAGTATCAAATGGACAGAATATAAATTTCCTAAACACTTTAAACTTTCAAAACTTCCCAAGTGTTCTCACAAACTCACATACCTTTTTAAAACATTGTTCTCATCATCTCGGAGCATTGAAAACCATGAACACTTGAACTTTTTTAAATCCGCATCCGATCTTCAACCTTGAAATTCTGAACCAAACTTTTACAACTCGATTGAACTTGTTTTGACAACGAAATTAGCCAATATACAATATATATTTTTTTCACAATTTCTCCAAAATATATATTTCATATTGTAAATCAGTAATACTTTTAAAATAAAAGGTGGAGCTTCAAATTCGTACGTAGAAAAATAAATTTATAAATGTGTATTTTTTTTTTTACAAATGAAAATAATATATACTTCTTCACTCCTAAAATAAATATCCACTTTTTTATTTTTGACTGTTGAAAAATAAATGCTTCATTTAAAAAGTTAAAATATTATTTTTTATGTATCCATTCCTTTCTAGATCCATAATTACTATCAAATTGAAGAGATAGACAAAATGAGTCTTAATTATGTAATTTATATATGTATGGAGAAGTTATAAGTGTATCCATAAAAAAAAAATATTTATTAAAAAAAAGAAGAAGAAGAAGAAGAAAAAAGGGCCTTGGTTGGAAAACCCACGAAATTACACACAAATATATATGCGCACACACACATATATACATATATATATATACTAGTAGTATTTTTATTTATTTTTGCTTTAAAGTAAAGAATATTCGACCTTGAAGAAAAGGAAAAAAAGAAAGAAAGTAAGAAGTAACGCGTAAGCGTACGCGCTCAATCGTATTGGATGATGTATTTGGGTGTGAGAAGAGTGAATAGTAAGTCCAGTATGCGTAGGTTTGTTTTGACTTGGAAGAAGTCATTGGGAATAGGCTGAGTCGCCTCGCCTCGCCACCCCTACCCTTCCACCACTCCCACTCTTATTGACCGACTTCACTCCCACCAACTCATCACCACCAGACGTGACTCCCTCCTCTCTCTCTCTCTCTCTATTTGTAGATATTATATATATCTATACATATATACCAATTATAAATTACACACAAACACACACGTATATTGCCTACACAACACTCCCACTGCCATTCCTCACGCAACTTCCACCCACTTCTCCTTATATACCCTCTCCACATCCCTCACTCTCTCATTCTAACAAACCATCTCTTTTCTTGCTCACTTTCTCTCTCTATTGCTACATCTATTCTCTGCTATGGATATTGAAATTCTCAGCTCTCCAACCATGGCCTCTCCTTCGTTCCACTACGACGAAGCAGACCTCCACTCTCTCGAGCCATGGACCAAGAGAAAGCGATCAAAGCGTCCAAGAATCGAAGGCCCAACAACGGAGGAAGAGTATCTGGCTCTCTGCCTCATCATGCTCGCTCGCGGCGGCGCCGCCTCCACCACCGACGATCAGACCGACTCTCCACCGTCTCCCAAACTCTCTTACAAGTGCAGTGTCTGTGATAAAGCCTTTTCATCTTACCAAGCTCTCGGTGGTCACAAGGCCAGTCACCGGAAAGCCGCAGCCGCCGCCGCCTCTGAAGACAACCCCTCCACCTCCACCACCAACACCACGACGACGACGACGATAACCACTTCCGCCACCGTTCTAAACCCAAGTGGTCGGACCCACGAGTGCTCCATCTGCCACAAGGTCTTCCCCACCGGGCAAGCCCTCGGCGGCCATAAGCGCCGTCACTACGAAGGCGGCAAAGGCAACGGCACCGGCAACGGAAACGCCGGAGCCGGCAGTGGCATGGCGACGTCTGAGAGCGCAGGGTCTACTCACAGTCACCGGAACTTCGACTTGAACTTGCCGGCCTTGCCGGAATTCCATCTGGGGTTGAACGTTGACTGCGGTAGAAAAAGTCAACTTACCGGTGAACAAGAAGCGGAGAGTCCTCTGCCGACTAAGAAACCGCGTTTATCAATTATGGAAAATTGAAATCTCCCTCAATTTGATTAGATTATGATTTGATTTTCAATTTGTTTGTTGATAAATGTAATTCATTCATTGATTCATTTATAAAATAAAACTGTGATTATTATTGTTGTTATTATTAATTAATTTTGTTGCTTTGGAGTATGCTATATTGAGTAGGGCACAGGGAGTGAGAGATTGGTGGTGTGTGCATGTTGAAGTGTGTGAATTCATTCCATAACCACCCATGTGATTCATGCCTAAATGCACATGTTCTGTGGATTGAATCAATTAAATTGATGTAACACAAAACCTAATATCATATGATAATAAATAAATAAATAAACAGTGACACTAATTGTGCACCAAATACATAGTCTATTCTACAACCGATAAACACTTTCATCAATTTTAATACAACATTTACTTCTTCTCACTAATTTGATAAAATAGATTTCCTTTCCTTTTAAAATATTTTTATCCATGATTGACAATTGTTATAAAAATCAGTGAACACTTCTATCATCTTCTATCATTTTTTGTTGAAATTTTTTCCGCTTGTCAGTAATTTTATAATATAGACTATCTCTACTCTTAAAATAATTTTATTAATAATTAATAACTCATTCAGTTATAAAATCAATGGACACTTCTTTTACTGTTCATAGAATATTGATTTCCCTGATTGCTCACCAGTCACCACTGTTATATGTCTATACACACACACATATACATGGATGAAGAAGTGGACAAGTGATTGCCATTGCTGGCTCTGCCTGCAAGCTGCATGCACTTTGTGTGCAAGGGCACTTTTCTCGGCTCAGTTCTAGGCAATGATGGAATTAAATTCAGTATGGGTCCAATATAAATCAGAATTCCGGTTCATACTTTAATGACTATTTTATTTATAAATTCGTGAATTTTATGACACGCACATGCAACATATGGATAATTTGGCTGGATAATTTGGCTGGCATTAGTATCCGATCTAATATCTGATATATTATACAAAATCTTTACGAAGTTGCCAAGATTTATCGGTGAAAAGATAATTATTATTATTTTTATTTTTTACTTACTTTTTTGGAGTTGAATTCGAGGCGTGGATCTTAAAAAATAAATAAATATATCCACATGTTTCTGAAGTAATACCATAACATAACTCTCTTGCAATCATGATAATATGAGCCAAGTTAAATTGTAATATGATTGCAAGTACCTTTTTGTCTCAGTAGTTGGGTTATTTTTTAGGAATCCGTGTTTAAACCTCGTAACCTCTCCCATAACTTCTAATTATTAACCCTTAAAAAAAGAAATTGTTGTCTAATTGAACTCGGAATTTTTAATTTTAATTAAACTAAAAAATGTTACTTGCCAAACTCAAGGTCTCAAACTAAGTGGGTATTTGTGATTGCTTCTTTACTAGTGAAAAGTACTCTTATTTTAAAAAATTACGGTGCAATGTGTTTGGTGAAAAAATAAAACTCTTATAAATGGTAAATGTTAGGTATAAAAAGTGCCTTTAAGTGAAGTTGGAATCGCAGCTTTTAAAATTGCGTTATTATAAAGGTTCATATTTTTAGGTAACTACTTTTCTTTAAGACAATTTAATTCCTTTATATTTTTTATAAATACAATTGTATCTCTTCTACAAACAAATAGCAAACAATATGGATTTTGTAACAGACTAAAATCCTAATTTATTTTGGGACTCTAGCTACCTTCCAATCTCAGTTTATTTTGAAACTCTGAATTATATAATTGTTAAATGTTTAATTTTTAATAAATTATGATTTGTAATTTATTTTTAAAATAACTATAATACATTTATACTATTATCTTAAATAACAAGTAATACGATTATTAATTGTGGTTAAAGTGTTTAGTTTTATTTTATGAAATGTTGTCTATATTGCAAAATATTATATTATTAAATTTCATTATTAGATAGTATATGAACAAATTTGCTTAATTTATTATTGGAAGATCCCAAATCAGATACAAATTAATCATCATTAAAATATGTTTAACTCATTTATATTTTAGTACTCAATACCAATTCGATATCATAAACAAAATATGTGATATTAAAAAAAAAAAAAAAACAATACAAGTTGATCTTTATAAATTATTGAACTCAATACAATTTTATAATATTTAATATTAGGGAATTAGTATATGTTTAGTGTAAGGGTAATATAGTAAAATTAGTAATAAAAGTGCTTTAAACAATATTATTAGCAAACAATACGCTATTTATTTTTTACAGGTGTTTTTGAGCCATATTTGTCTCGAGTAATTAATTAATATTATAATTTAGATATATTGATAATATAAAATAAAAAAAAGGTTGAAAGCGTCCATTGTGGAGTTATCTGTCATCCACACGTAAACGGGAGGTTTGGCGCTTGACAGGTAAGAATGACGAGGCCTTAACAACAAGATAGATTGCTTTGACAGACGGACAACTTTGCCAGATTTAGATCCATGAGATATATTAGTTTCTGGAGTTATGGGGGCAATTATGACATATGGCTACTTAACCTACGTTGCTTTCTCGGACGGTTACAACAGTTTGATATGTACTAGAAAGAAAAATTAGAATATTATAATTAAAAAACAATAAAAAAAACCATGTTTTCTAAATAGTTTTAAGAAGACTACCTTAATTTTTTATTATTATATTTTAAAAACTCACACAATCATTTATTTATATGGAGACTTTAAGGTGTATGTCCACGGGTTGCTCTTGGTCTAGTCTAGCCCACTATATATATGGCAATTTTTTTTTTTTGTATTTTATATGTATATACATATGAAAATTTTTATATAATGTTCTCCTAAAATAATTAATTTTTAAATTTTTTTCTAATTTTTTTTATTTTTAATTTATATTCAATTTCCTTTAAAAAAAAGCTAAATTTTCCTTGTTAAATTAAATTTTAATTTTTTTCCCTTTTACTCTTTCAAATAATTTTTATTTTTCCTTAACATTGTGCCCCTAAACTAAAATCCTGACTTCGCCCCTACTTTAAATTACAATTCTTAACATTAGTCGCCATCGCTTACTTTATTGCTAATAAAATGCAAGCAACAGTGCTCACATACGATCTGTCATGACTACAAACCAAACATTTATATGTGGTTTTTTCTTTTATTTTTTATTTCTAAGGATAGCTAAGTATATTTTTACACACATTTTACAAATTGTCCTTATACTCTAATACTGGATTAATGACCCGTATGTGGGGCTTTCTAGATCAATCTTGAATGTTCCAACTAAAAATTGTCATTATTATTATTATTATGAGTAATGATACCTAAAGAATTTATATTCATTAAAAGTCAATAAAATCAAGTATACATCCCATTGGATAACATAAAAAAAAGTAAAAAACCGCTAGAATAATTTTCTAATTATTTTTAGAGAAAATAGAAAAGAAGCACATGGAAATTAATTAGGCAGGTGGAGAAGACTTTTTGAAAGTCCATGGTATTGTCGGAGGAAGAAGTTGAATTTCAATAGTTTTGAATACTGAAATAAAAGTAGTCCATGCATGGGGTGGTCTGGTCTACATACAATGAAAACCCACGTACAGTGGGGGATGCTGGCGTTCTTTCTAGATTGATTGATAGGCTTCACCTTTAAGCAACCTAATTCATTTTCGTATGTCTTTGGGATGTCATTAAGACGTCACCTACTAGCCGCTTAATCCTGTCGGCGCATGGGCCTCATCGGCCAATTTTTTAAGGCCCAAACATGTTTTGATAGGGCTTTGGACATTTGTCACCCAACTTGTCCTCAACAGGTATATATATATATATATATATATATATATATATATATATATATATATATATAATCTATAAAATGCCACTCAGAAAGGCAATTACACACCACCTCAGCCGTGAAGCCATAAAATGTTGTGTTACAATGGAAAGTTAGGAAATATATATATATATATATTAAAGTGGTTCGTGATAGGAAGTACTGTACAGTCTAACTTTTGGAGGGTTTTTTGGTGCTTTAGTGTGATGGTATTTATTTTATTATGAATTTTCTGTATTTTGTCTTTTTCTTAAAATAGTAAAATCCGTGCAACCCGTGGATGTACTTCTAGTTTGTGGGTGACCGGCGTATTGTATTGTGTATTCTTGTTTGCGGGTTTGATCTATTTTATGTGATTTTTTGCAACAGCTCGATTGGGCCAATGAGTTGAATTATTCATGAGGGTCGGGTTCCAATTTGATTGCTTAGGCCCAACTCCAGCACCTGACCTTGCAAATTTATTTTTGTCATTCCAAAATATAGTCACGGCCCATTCTCCTCAGTCCTCCGTGGACCTAGTTACAATGATTGTATTCAAACTTTACACTTCCAGTTTCAGAGATATGCCAACATTCACGTGTCTTTTTAAGCGCAGACATTTATATTTTCGGAAGATGATTAATGCACTTATTTTTATTTTTATTTTTTATTCCATTTTTTTTATAAAAATTTTAAAGACAAACACACTCTTAATACTTCTTGATTACCCTAGAGTTAGGGACACTAATGTTATTTCACTACGAATAGAGAGCATTTAGTAAAATGAGGAGTGCAAATATTGGCTGGTGCTGTGTCAATATATTTATGAAAAAAGTTCTCCAACTATATGGCAAATGGCAACAATATGTCTCATCAATAATTATCACATATCAATAACCTTGTTTTGCTAAAAAAATAAAATTTCAGAAAATATTTTCCCTTATCTGGTGGTAAAATATATATTTTAATTTAATTTTTTTTTTTTTGTGTTTGGTAAAAGTTTAGATTGAGATTAAGGACTAGTCTATCAAGCTAAATGTGTAAAATAACTTATCGAAAATTGATAGGTAAATTATTTTTGTTAGATTTAAATATTATTTTTCTTCGTAAATGTTTATGACAACTAAATACTAGAAAATAAGAAAAAAAAAAAAATTACATCTAAACAAACGGAGCCGCAGTGTAATATAATTTTTTCCAAACTATCAATAATTAGCCATCATAATCCTTAACCCTAATATAAATTAGGGTAAAGTACATTAAACCCCCTTGAACTATTGGTCATTTGCAAGAAACCCCTGAATTACAAAAAACCCCCCTGAATTATGATTTTGT